CACACGAAGACTGCAGTGATAGAATCTATACTTGCATTTATAACATTTAATTATTGTTGATACACTTTTTATAAGCAAAAATAATAATATATGATTAACAAAAATGAAAAATGCATATAGTCTGGAATAAGAATGATATGCAACATAGAATAAAAGTCTCTATTTCTCTTTTTCTCTCTCTTTCTCTCATTCTTTTTTTGTATTTTATTACTGTCTATTCTAATGATGACTCCTGATCCTGTACAAAAGAATAATACTTACTTAAGCTAACAGGCTTACGAATCATTTTGGGATATTACACGAATATGCACAGTTACGCGAAACAGTCAAAGATTAAGGTAGAAGAGGATGATAATATATTGGCTTGCGACTTTTCTCCATAATGTAGAATGCTTTAGGCTTGCCATTTCCGGGGAAGTTCTTGTGAATGCTGGTAGAACCCGTTTTGGTAGCGATTGGCGCGTAATATGACATAGCAGCTTTCTTTCTATGTTTCTTCATCTTTGACATAGAGTTTCTCAAGTTATAAAATTCATTGATTAAATGGATCCTAGGTATATTCAGTTCGTCTGATAAATCTAATCTATAGGCTTTGTTGCTAGTATCGTTTTTTTTCGTTAATTTAAATTTAATATTGTCATTATCACTCTCTGGATAACTAAGCCTTTTATCATTGTTCCTGACGTACTTCGTCATTGTCGGCTTTTGATGTAAACGTAGTTTATTATCAGCGGTATAATGCTCATAATTTTTGGTTGTATCAAGAGAATAAAACTTATTCAATATAGCTTTTGTGGAAGATATTTGTTGCCGTTTCTTCATATCCTCCAGTGTTTTTCTAGCCTGATCGAGCTTCAGTTGACTTAATTGAAGACCCTTTTTCTCCGTCATTTTCTTTACAATTGGTAAATTCCAATGATAAATTTTGGCAGGTCTACCGTTTCCTTGGAATCCCATTGGAAAATTTAGATCGGTCTTAGTTTTTTTGTCACCGTTGACAGATTTGTGCGGCTTTATAATAGTGTAATATGGCGGACTGGCTGGAAGTTTCACAATGTAAATGTGGCTGTCGCGGTGTCCGTGACGATGATTGTAAGGTTGATGTATACGCATCTGCGAGTCGAGTCCTGGTGGCTCAGGACCAGCTAATCGCTTCTTGTGATGTCCATCAGGTATTTGAAGAGGTGTCAGGCCGAGTCTGTTTAGAACAGCCGCGTTGCTTGTATGAACTGTCTCGAAATTTTCCTCGGAAGTGGCGAAACTACTGAAGAACATCAGTAGAGAACCACTTAAAAGTAATAATCTAAAACAAAAATCATTACTTATATTATGTATATGTATTCAATGTAATGATAATATCCAATGTAATATGTCAATATAAATATGATCCAATAATGAATAATAATGAATCAAAGATCGCTGACAATGTATTACAAATATAAGAATCTCATAATTATGACAATTATTGTTTGTAGTGCATAGATAATTTGAAAGAGCCATCTAAATGAGACTTCAACTATGCCACAAACATATAATATTCATTTGAATATGAGAGATTTAAATAAAGAAGAGTTACATGTACTTAGAGAACGATTCATTATGAGTCGTGATTGCCATATCGTAGAATGAAAGAAGTTGTTTAATCGCAAGCAATGTAATGAGGAATTCAAAGGAAAGATCGTGAGTGACCTTTCAGTTATCTAACTGCTCGTAAAACTATGTGTGAAACGAGCCTTATATGTGGAAAAAATTTCAATGAGGAAGAAATTTCAAAGCAGGCGTGAAAGTGATGACTTTACGCCAATAAAGAAACAAGAAATTTTACGAAATGAGAAACATGTAAAAACATTATAATGATAAATACGGATCAACCTGTTTTGCTATTATGAACAGCGCGATAACTTATCCTTCTACTTAATTACTTGTACAAGGATAAAGTATGTTAATTTTTCTGAGTCTCTCTTATTTCTCTCTAGGATAAAACACAAAATACTATTTCTAAAATAGATTATGTATATTTACAATGAAATTAATAACATTTCAACAATTTGTCATCATCCAATTAATATATTTAAGAAAGAATAAAATAAATCCTTACAACTTCATAATAAAAAATATAAAAGTTATTACAATAATAAAATAATTTGTCATATAAGATTAAAATATATATATATATATAAACTGAATTATAATATACAAAACAAGTCAAATTTATATAAAACGCAAGCAAATTATATAGGATGTTCTAAAATTTCTGCAAGAACAAGACGTAATTCTTTATACTAAAGAAACAATTTTTTTATTCTTTAATAAATTTATTTAAAAAAAAAAGTGATTATAAAAAGGTATCATAATAACATCATCTGCAAATGAATCAATGTTACAATTGTATAGTCACCTTAAAATCTTGCAACTTTTAATTAAAATATCTTTTTCAAAAATACATTACATTTTACACTCTTTAAAGATATAACATATATATTCTTTATATATGAAGATAAAATAATTGAGAGGAATTTGTAATTCTATAGAAAAAAAAATGCTTAATAATAATCGATGATATTAAATGTTCTTTTATTTCGCCCTATTGTTTCACGACTATTGGGTTTTATTTTATACGATTCGAAAATTGCATTAATAATATTTTAAACAGCTATTTATCGGTCATTACGATATAAAATCTCGTG